GGGAGACGAATGCCGGTTCGCCACCCTTTTGATTTAGGTTCTGCCCACTTCGGTTGACCCAGTTTCCGGCCGTCACATGACCGGGAAACTGTTACCCCACTTTCCCCTCTCCGCCCGCCTACGCAACATGCAAAAAAAAAAAAAAAAAAAAAAAATCAAGTCCGGCAGTTTTTCACTTCCATCGCCGCTGAAATATTTAGCCAACGCATATAAAACAATGCAAGCTCCCGGGGGGGGGGGGGGGAATGTTGCAGGAGCGGCAAGCTGCATGGAAATCTACATATTTTATAGGGGAGCTCCCACCCCCTCCTCTCTCTCTTTCTCTCTCTCTTCCTTTTCTCTATTTCCCACCTCCTGACGTGGTAATCCTGGCATGACCTGGATTTGAGCAAGGACCCCCCCACCCCCTTTTCCTTCCAACAACAACGCCCCCCTCTCTACCCCCCCCCCCCTTCCACCAGCAGCACAATTGACTGCGGCCTCTGACTCCCCCCACCCCCTTGTAGAATTTATCACGACTTACCCCCAATCCGCTTGCCTTTGGGGCACACGCGCGCGAAAAGAAAAAAACAAAAACAAAAAATAAATAAATAAAAAATAAAAATCCAACATCATTTCTTCCCGTCACTCACTTTTCCATCGAATGCCCGTCTCGCCTTCATTAATCCCTTCTCTAATTTCGATTCGCCATTATAACCCTCCCCCCATGGCTCTAATGGTTCCAACTTCCCCACGCCCATTCCAGCCTGTCAGTCACGTGGGCGGCGCTATCGGAACGCGGGCGGCTTTTCGTCCATCTGCTTTATCCTTCGTCAGTTTGCGCTCGCTGGCGAAGGCAGCGCCGGCGCGACCTCCTTTCGCTAATGCCAACGTTGTTTTCATTTTTCTTGAAGAGTGCGTGGGAAAAAAGCCTAGTTAGAAAGGCTATGCTATCGTTATTTTTATTTTTATTTTTTTTCCATTTCTTGAAGAGTGCGTGGGAAGCCTAGTTAGAAAGGCTAATGCTATCGTTATTTTTATTTTTTTTTCCATTTCTTGAAGAGTGAGTGGGAAGAAGGCCTAGTTAGAAAAGCTAATGCTATCGTTATTTTTATTTTTATTTTTTTCCATTTCTTGAAGAGTGAAAAGGAAGAAAACCTAGTTAGAAAAGCTAATGCTATCGTTACTTTTATTTTTATTTTTCTTGAAGAGTGCATGGAAGAAAACCTAGTTAGAAAAGCTAATGCTATCGTAATTTTTTATTTTTTCCTATTTCTTGAAGAGTGAAAAGGAAGAAAACCTAATAAGAAATATTCGTTGAAATCGGAGTTATTATAACCCTTTTTAATCTGTTCATAACTGATAACAAGAAATTGCCCTTTCGATAACTGTTCCCGGAAATGGACATGGAGGGGGGAAGGTAACCAACCAGAGCCTACAATTACCCTCGGATGCCCTTGACCCAGTGCCAGGACAGGGGGACACGAGGGATGACCCACTTCCCTCCCCAACCCCTTTTCATATCCCTCCGCCTATCCGTCATAGCGGCGATAATTACTTCGTTTTCTTTTAATTGCTGAGTTAATGACCAGGGCAGTGTCTGGCAACCTGCTCACGTGTCGCGCGGACTGGCTTCCTCCAATAATACTTTTCAATCTATCTTTATCAACATCCGCTCTTTTTTAATATGAAATCTATTTACCCAACTATTTTCCTTTTTTTATTTTTATTTTTTTTAATGAGAGTTCGCTGCGATTAAATTAAGGACAGTAAAAATATAATGTTTCCGAGCAGAAATATGACAAAATTCTGTGACAGCAATAGATGTATTTTTGCAGCATCACTTGAGAGAGAGAGAAAAAATCGTTCATTTGGTTTGCGAGTGACTGTCCTAGTTCCATGTGATTCCAGTTCCACGGAAAGAGAGAAACACAAAACCATTTCGAAATTTCTCTTTGAAGATGAAGGGGAAAATATACCGAAATATAGAGCTACAGAGCGAGAATGAAAGAATAAAACGCACACCGCATTGAGACGAAAAATAATCACTTTAATTGCAAAAAAATAATATTAATAATAATAATAATAATAATAATAATAATAATAATAATAATAATACAAGAAAAAAGAGTAAACATACCTCAAAGAAATACTAATAATTATAAGAAATAATTTAGGGAAAGAGAAAGAAAGAAAGTAAAGAAAATCACGAAAAAAATGAAATCAATAAAATAAAACACGGAAAAAAGGAAAGGAAAAATCAATTAAAAAAGAAAAAAAAAAAAAAGAAAAAAAGAAAAAAAGGGAGAGAGAGAGAGAAAAAAAATCCGACGACCAAGAACCCCTTACCTTGGCCATCTTCGCCGGCGTCGGGTTGTCCCCAAGGTTGATGATGGCGTGGTGCGTGCCCGTCTTGAGCCTGAGGAGGACCCGGGTGTTCTCCTGCGAGCTGATCACCTCCGTCTTGTGGCTCAGCACGACGGGGCCGTGGACCTCGTCCTCGCCCAAGAAGGTCCAGTTCCTGAGAGAGGAGAGAGAGGGGGGGGAGGTTAGTCTCAAGGCAGGGCGAGGTAGGTTCGCGAAATTACGGTGAGGTCGTAATGGGAATAACTGATAATAATGATGCAAAGAATAGCACGAATTATATAAATAATAACACTAATCATACATACAATAACACAGATGATACAGACAATGACACAAATCATACAAATAAGAAAAACAACACAATACAAATGAAACAAACGGTAATAATACTTATAAGATCACTATCACTACTACCATTATCATAATCATAATGGTAATATCCAGGCTAATTACCCTTGAAATTATCCCTTAGCAATAAATCCAAAAAAACATGGCCACGCGACCACATCTCACAACCAGCAAAATGCACAGAGAATGAACAACCCTTTAGAAGAAGAAGAAGAAGAAGAAGAAGAAGAAGAAGAAGAAGAAGAAGAAGCAGAAGACGATGATGATGAAAATAATAATTATAAAATAAATGAAGAAGGAGAAGAATAAGAAAAAGAAGCAGATGATGAAAATAACATTTATAAGATAAACGAAGAAGAAGAAGAAGAAGCAGATGATGATGGAAATAATAATCATAAGATATATGAAGAAGTAGAAGAAGAAGAGGAAGATAAAAAGAAGAGGAATACTAATAATAAGCTAAAATAATAAGAAAAGAAGAAGAAACGCGAAATTGGGCAATCGAGGTGCATGCAGGAGCTCTCTGGGGTCCTTACGTGAGCAACACACTGCAGTATCATCCGTTGCCGCTCCCGGAAGCCTTTGCAGATCAGGCCCCTCTCTCCTCCCTTTCCCCTCCTTCCCCTCTCTCCCCTCCCTTTCCCTCTCTTCCCCCTCTCTTCCCCACTTCCAGCTCTCGCCTCTTGCTACTCTCTTTTCCCCTTCCTCTGCAGCTCGGTCTCTTCTCTCTCTCTCTCTCTCTCTCTCTCTCTCTCTCTCTCTCTCTCTCTCTCTCTCTTCTCTCTCTCTCTCTCTCTCGCGCTCTCGTTTTCTTTTCTCTGTGTGTCTGTTTCTGTCTGTCTGTCTATCTGTGTGCTCTGTCGGTCTCTCCCTCCCTCCTCCCTCTCTCTCTCTCTCTCTTCCCTCTCCTTTTCCCTCTCCCTTCACTCTCACTCTCTGGCTCTGTCTCTCTTCCTTTCCTCTCTCCACTCTCCCTCACCCCACCATATTCACCCATTCTCTCCGCTCCCTTCCACGACCACTGCTTACAACCCAACCACGTCCGCTCATAACTTAGGGACATACGCGAACTATTATTAGGGGAAGGAAACTTTCCGGGGCAGGAGGCACGAGGTGGAAAATAGGACGTGGCTCAGACGAAGGAATAAGGAAGGAAGGAAGGAAGAGAAGGATGGATGGAAGGGAAGGAAGGATGGAAAGGAAGGAAGGAAGGAAGGTTGGATGGGAGGAAGGAAGGAAGGAAGAGAGAATGGAAGGAAGGAAGAAAGAATAGATGAAAGGAATGAAGGGAAGAAATAACGTTGTAATCTTTTTTTTTTTTAACTTTAATGCACATCAGAAAATAAAACGAAAAAAAACATTAGCATTGCTTATACAACAGCAAATATACTAATAATTTTTAGAAGCCGAAATGACATAACGTTCTCTATTTCCCTCTCAACGCCCTTTTCCTTTCTCTTCAAACTACGCCAATGTGGCTGGCACCTGCGCCCTCCCACATACCACTCGCACACCTGTATTATCACCGCGATACCTAATTAAGAAAAAAATATCGATTGAACATATTTTCATCCATCCAAACCAATGCAGCAAAACAGCTTTATCGACACACTCACTCTTTACGAACGCGCAGAAATGATCCTATTAAATCTAAAACAACAAAGCTTATTTTTTTCACGACTGTCAAAAATACCCAATTAATTCGTATAGGAGATAATGTTCATATTTTCGACGTTCATTTAACAGTTCCAAAGTATGTCGAGGTGAGTCATACCAGATGAAAATAAATAAATAAACTGAATATTTGCCGTCGCTACTGCACGTTGACGAAAGAGCTGCCAACACGAGGATCTGTTTGCCTACATGTGTGAGTGTGGAGGCGTTTGTTTACATACGTGCGACCCGCTGGAAGGAGCTGGTTTCGTTTGGACAAGCAACGAAAACATGCACAAGAACACGCACATTGATGTAAACACACACGCACACAAAGAGAAACAACAGACACACAAACGCGCACACACAGACACACACACGAACACACACACACACAGAGTCCGACGCACACTCACACTGATGCAAACACGACGCCCACATGCAAACACACACACGCACACACACGACCGCACCTCTTATAACGGGTGCTTCGATAAACGAGAAACGCAGCACAGCATCTCAGAGGTCAAAGGAACTGGGTCGACCCAACATAAACAAATATATACATACGCCATTTTTCTCTCTCTCAGACATACATATTTTTGTCTTCTCCTCCAGCCCGGACTAACCTCGCTCGGCTCACCCGCTCACCCGCCTCATCCACAGACCAAATCTTCGCAATAAAGAAATACCGATACTTAGACGAACGGTCATACCAGGTACCCCGACACACGCATGAATACCAGACGACCATTTCATGCCCAGAAACAGCCAAAAATACTTTTAACAGACCATGCCATTCCGCTGGCATATAATGGCCCCGTAGCTTCTACCTTGGAGCCCCCCCCCATCCATCCCCCCCCCCTACATATCCCTGTGCAACCGCAAATTAAGATACTCTGAAACACAGTCACGTGTTGGCTGGAGAGAGAGAGAGAGAGAAGAGAGAGAGAGAGAGAGAGAGAGAGAGAGAGAGAGAGAGAGAGAGAGAGAGAGAGAGAGAGAGAGAGAGAGAGAGAGAGAGGAAGGGAGAGACAGAGAGAGGAGAAGGAGGAAGGGACAGAGCAAGCAAGAAAGAAAGAAACAGAAAGAAAGAGACAACGGCTCAACACGTTCCTCAGAGTCCACGTGATCCAACAGTGACTCCATCCTCTTTACCAATCCCATTCCTGTATCATGTATCTCCTCTTCCTACCTCGCGTATCGCATTCTTCCACACGGCGTCCTGGTCGCGAGTATCCTAGCCGCACCACGAGAGGCGGGTGTGGTTCCCCGTCCCTTGTAAAAGCCTCGTTTAATTACGCTCGGGTTGTGGCGCCACGTGCAAGAATTCGGGTGAAAGGGGAGTGATGTTTATAACACAAACCATAAATGTTTCGAGGCGTGGATGCATTCGCTCTGGCAACATTAGAGTAATTACAAGGGCGGTTGGATGTGAATGTGAGTTCCTTTCTGCATTTACTGACTTTGTGCGTCTCTAAAATAAATTGTAACTCGCAGGCAGACTTAGGCAGACTTATGAGAGATGGAGAAACATAAAATGAAGAGAAAAGGAAAGAGAAGAGAAGAGAGAGAGAGACAGACAGACAACGAAACACACAGAGGCAGAGAGAGGCAGAGAGGCAGAGAGCAGAGAGAGAGAGAGAGAGAGAGAGAGAGAGAGAGAGAGAGAGAGAGAGAGAGAGAGAGAGAGAGAGAGAGAGAGAGAGAGAGAGAGAGAGAGAGAGAGAGAGAGAGAGAGAGAGAGAGATCCAGAAAGACAGCATCCCGTCAAGAAGGCGTAAGAAGGGAAACAGATCAGGTGCCAAGTACGTCTCGAAGTCCTTCTCGACTTCGGTGAGATAGGAAGCTAAATCTGGTGGACGAGACTTGTCCTACTTCTATTCCTAAGTCTGAAAGAGGAGGAAAGAGGAGAAAAGAGGAGGGAAAAGGAGGAAAGAGGAGAAAAGAGGAGGGAAAAGGAGGAAAGAAGAGGAAAGAGGAGGAAGAAGGAGGGAAGAGGAAGAAAGGAGGAAAGAGTAGAAAAGAGGAGGAAAAAAGAAAGAAGAGGAAAGATGAGGAAATGAAAGGAAAGATGATGAGAGAAGAGGAAAGAGGAAAGAGGAAACGCGAGAGAAAATGGGTGAAAATACGAGACAGATAAAAAATGGAGGGATTAAAGAAGTGGGGCGAATGAAGGCGAAAGATCCTAACAAGAGCATAATAAAGAGGAGAGAAGGAAGGGAAAAACAACTCAAGGCACACCAAGGAGGGATGGTTAAGGAGGAGGAAGAGTGTAGGACCAAAACGGAGAAGGAGGAAGTGAAAGAAGGAAAGAAGGACGAGAAGGAGAAGGAGGAGGAGGAAGGAGTGTAAGACCAAATCAGAGAAGAAGGAAGTGAAGGAAGAAAAGAAAGCCGAGAAGGAGAAGTAGGAAAAAGTGTAGGTACAAAACAAAGAAGAAGGAAGTGAAGGAAAATAGGAAGGAAGAACGAGAATAAAGAGGAAGAGGAGGAGGAGGAAGAAGGAGCGTGCGGATGCTGCAACTACTCCTGCAACATGGGAGATGACGTCTGGCGAGTGAAAGTAAGTCCGTGGCGCAACCCTGAACTAAAATGTCTCCCCACTCTGGATGAACCTGCAGTGGGAGTGGTGGTTTTGATGGGGCGGGGGGGGGAGGAGGAGAGAGGAGGAGGAGGAGGAGGAGGAGGAGGAGGAGGAGGAGGAGGGGAGGAGGAGGAGAGGGAGGGAGGAGGAGGAGGAGGAGGAGGGGGAAGAGGAGGAGGAGGAGGTGCTAGTGGTGGTGGAGGAGAAGTAGGAGGAGGGGGAGGGGAAGGAGGAGGTGGAGGTGCTAGTGGTGATGGAGAAGAAGAAGAAGGAGGAGAGAGGAGGAGGAGGAGGTGGAGGTGGTGGTGGAGGAAGATAAAGAGGAGGTAAAGGAGGGAAGAAGATACAGATAAAAAACAGAGGACGACGAATCTCCACAGACGAAACCAAAACCAAAACCAAAACACAAAAAAACAAATACGAGAAAGAGAATTAGAAGGCAGAACGGGACGAGCAGGCGAAGAAAACCCAACAGCTGATCAACGGGGCAGATTAGCACCGAGGTCGGTTCCCTTGCGACACCGAAGGACCCGACGCCGACAAGAAGACCTGCCACGGGATGCCACG